TTAGAGGAGGACAACCAGTACTTCATCCTCTGTCATGGTAGTCGTTGTTATTTCCATCATTGGATTAACTTGATACATTATTATGCATCCTTAGCACTTGTCTTAACGGGTGTGGTCCGAAGCTTGGGAATAAAAGTTGAACCCTAGCAGGAAATAATGTGGCTCCTATTAGGAATGCAAAGCCAATGAGCAAAATTGTAAAAATATGGTACTCTGATAATCACTTTGCTTCCCTCTTTTTTTATGTAATAAAGTTGCAATAGTTCACTATATTTTTACACCAAAATTCCTCGTATTGAACTCAAGGCACACTTACAGACAATTGACTTTGCAATAAGAACCGTGTTCATCCTATTTTGTTTAGTGATGAAAGACAGGTAGCTAAATTTTACCACGATATGAATAGGCTTCACGTCTACAATGAATTCCCCATGGCCTTTTTTCCAAAGGGTAATCTAATCCAGAGTAGATTGGACTGCCGTTTCGACCTCACATAGGTCTTATCAGAACCCCCAGACAGACTTTAACCCGGTTTGTGGTAGTGCAGGGTATAGTCTCGATACGTTAACTAATACCCCACATTGCAACGAGTGTCCTAAAGTCACAGGACAGAGTGAATTTCAAGGAAGCCTTGGCTCTTATATATCACATTTATCTGGTTAGACTGTCGATGAAGCAGTTTTATTTACTATTACCATCAAATATAACACCTATTTTCGTTTTTAAATAGGTTTTCCAGACCACTAGTAGATCACGAATAAGAACTAAGTTAACCATAATACGTTTAAGGTGATAAAATATATAGGAAATGCCCAAACTTGGTCGAAATTCCTGACTGCCCTGTTGCCTAAGAGAACTTGTGGCAGTGTGGCGTAGTTATTAATGTGTCTAGACTATACTAAACACAACACGGGTTTAAGTCCCTCTAAAGATAATAATAAGATCTAGAAGAAGTCGAAACTGAAGTCTAGTCAACCCTTAATAATAATAGCTTTTGAAAAGCGAGGCTATTTAAAATTCAATGCAAAAGTAGGGCGTACTCGTAGCATTATTAAAAATTTATTTACCAGCCCCTTAATTACTCCAAACGAAATAGTGCGTATACATTTCTTATTTAAGATCGTCTGGTAGTCTCAAAAACCTACTCTCAAACCAAAATAAGTAATGTAGTAGATCGTTGTGTCAAATAAAACTTTGCTTCAGCGACAATCCCACTGAAGCTATGATCCAGAATTAAATTGTAGTATGAAGCACTGGAGATATAGCACTCGAAAGAGTTGCAATAGGGTTTGTAAGATTATATTCACTACAGGTAGTAACAATTATGGTCATTAAGTCTAAGCGCGACCACGAAGTTGATGGAACTTCAAGCAGGATCAACCGGAGTCTTAAAAAAAGCTTAACGTGTTGAGAAAAGAATGACTTTGCCTGGAATTATGTGGCCAGTTTACAAGATATGACTACATTAAAGCGGTCCACCAAGAGTGCTTATGACAAGAAGCTCAGGGTGGGGCCAAAGTACTTAGACTGGTCATATGAATAAAAAATAATATGTAAATAAAGTCCTTGCAGATGACACTTTTCCTAATATAGCTAAAATAGGAGAAAAACAGTGGAAAAGGGCCAACAAGCTAGAGAAACTGGAGGAGACTGAAATTGACCCATCAATTGATAGAATTGGCGAAGATGTGTCCGCTATACAAAAAGGGCTGTGAAAGAGCCGACAGTATGATGAAGAAATACATGGGACACGTTGAAAATAAACCAGAAACATAAGGCAAATAGGAAATTAATACGTAAAAATGATGCAAAGGAGTTGTAGGATGCTCTCACCATCAAGGATATTAAGTATAATTCAATTCAGAATATCTCATGAAGTGCCAGTTGAACTATCAGATGAACAAAGAGGATAGAGGTACTGAAGCAACCAATGAAATATTCAGCAAGATCCGAAAATTATCCAAATAAACATGATACGTTTGTAAAATCAAGTAACATCTACGTGGCGAATAGTGAATTCCGATAAACAAAAGCTACTTCTAATTGATATTCAAATATAACGTCATGCATAAACGTATTCGTTAGTCCATATAAAATAGCAGCTAGTGGATGTACAAGGGTGAAGTTAACTAGGAAATGAGGCAAATTAAAACTCAAACCTATATGCCAATAGGATTAATACATATGGTTCATAAAATAAGTTTGGAGACTGATATAACATATAGATATAGATTTTCATATATGCATATAACTTGAGGAAAAAATAATAAAATAGTCGTTACCGTACGACATGCCTTTAGTGAGTAAAAAGACAGCCTGTCAGGAGTGGCTAAGATCGTCTCCTCAAGCAGATATTGCTTAATCATGCATCATCATTCCACATCGACTTATTCACTCAAAGAACTATGGAAAACTTGGAACTTACTCGGCTGAGCTGGGTGACAATGGCTAGGTCTGGGGGCTTCATGCAGGCACCCATGAAGAGAACCAGGTTCTCATGACGTGTCTTGTGAAGAACAGCAACCTCATGTTTAAAAGCCTCAACACGGCTGGCCATTCCATCACCGTCAGCAGGATCCAAATCAACAATCCGCTTGACAGCCACTTCTCCATGCCACTTTCCCTTGTAAACAGCGCCAAACGTGCCCACGCCAATAACTTCGCCTAGCTGCAAGCTGCTTAATGGTATATCCCATTCTTTCAGGGCCACCGAAATCTGAAAAGATTGCGGGAAATGTTTGAAAGGAAGGATTCTTATATTAATAAAAAAAATAAATCATTTAAGGTAAAGTGATAATCTGCAGATAAAGTGTTAAGATATATTGGCCTTATCATAACTTGTGTCTGAAGCGAGATCAGATATATAACTAAATATATGGGAGTGGACTAACATGAACCAGTAATAGAGGTTGTTTGACCTTGTTTTCGCAACATGGTCATATTGGTAGGAAGACTTATTGGAACGCACC